ACTAGGAATCGACTGGAATCATTGAAACGTTACCATTAAGAATGATTATCCGGACGTGGTCAAACTTTTCCTGAAGATGAAGCAGAACAATCGCGGAGTACTCACCGCGATAGATCACAATGGATTCACATGCGCACATATTGCTGCTATGAAGGTCACCACTTGGCGAGAATTAGCCGTCAATATAGAGGAGCATTCAACTATTTTCAGGGCTCACTCGCTGTGGTGAAGGAGTTGATGATGATTGACAAGGCCATGGTGATTCAGGCAAAAACGAAAACACTTGAGGTAGGCCTATTCCACCAATTATGACTGGGGGTTGATCAGGCAGAATTCATCAAAATGGCTCACTTCATTCTCGGAATGCATGTGAAACGCTTATTGGAGGCTCATTATGAGGAGCATTGGGAAAGCCATCGGACAGAAAGGAGTCGCTTCAAAGGATTAGAAATAAAAACTTGTGTTTGAGTTGTTGGAATTCTTCTGCTCTTCGAGACTTCTGCATTATAAAACATGCCCCTTAAAGAAAAATCTGAGGTAATGAGGCATTAGAAGTGACCATTCCCTTCAGGCCACTACACTCCATATGGCTGCAGCTGGAGGACATGCGAATATCGTCAAGATTCTGCTCGAAAATGGGGCCAGTGCTGAAGATGAAAATGCCGTCAGTTTCTCTTACAAAGTAGATGTTCTCCGGAACGCTGTTATTAAATGGTTCACGATTTCAGCATGGAATGACCGCATTGCATTTGGGAGCAAAAAATGGCTTTGTCTCAATTCTCGAGGCTTTTGAAAAGACGTTGTGGAGAAGGTGTTCGAAAAAGGTTAGCTCTTGGTGGTTCTAGGACGATTTTTAGGCCTAACCTTGCAATTGGACCAATTTAGTTTAGACCGGTTTGAACGCCTTGCATATAGCCGCGTACTACGGTAACTCGGATTTCGTCAACGAGATGCTAAAAAGCGTTCCAGCGTCGATTCGTTCCGAGCCACCGATTTATAACCACCATGTTGTGAAGGAATTTGCCACTGAGGTACTTGACAAGTCATTAACTCACCGGAAAAACTCCAGAGCAACTAGTTTAGTATGGCTTCACTCCGTTACATTTGGCGGCTCAGTCTGGTCACGACTCCCTTGTGCGAATGTTGCTCAATCAGGGTGTGCAAGTCGATGCGACAAGTACCACTATGGTTAGTTCTTTTTTCCTTATAATTTATGTCACACTAGCCATCCCTCTACTTGTGCTCGGTTCAGTGAATGAAGTGAGGAGTTTCAGAGTGCCTGAAGTCGTCAGAAAGGGAAATCCGCAACTCCTTTCACAGGCAACCTATTTCCCTTGCTCCGAAGAATGGTGCAAGATTTGGTGTCATTGTTCCTACTTAAAATCACAGTTCACCATGAGAATGGTTTCTGAGATCTCCCTGAAGTGTGAATTCGAGGCTCCCCCTTATACCATACCTGCCGTTGTGAAGTCGAAAAACGTCCTGGACGGGGCACAATAAGGAGCCAGAGATTGTCTCGTGTGAATGGCACACCCCTAGTGGACGAGTTTCAACGGTTTTGTTGAGGCTGCACTATCTCAAGGGATTTCCATGTAGGAAGTTCAAACAACTTGTCATAATCCTCGGCGACAGTGAAAGGCAGTTTCGGACAATTTTGGTTTGATTTAATAATCAAATCGTTCAATCATTTTTTTATGCAATGGGAGCAAATTTCGTCAAATTAGCCCTCACATGCCATTCCCGTCACGGTGATCTCGTACTACCACCACATCCACAACTTTAAAAACCCTTGAAGAGGGCGGACCTTATCGCTCTCTTCGCCACCGATGTACTCCTCCACATAAACCTACCGCTTTTGAATCTAAACAGGGAACCTCAAAATTATCGTGAACTGTGCCTTTAATCGCTAACATGAATCTCTATCAGTTGCTGAATTTTGAATAATAATCCCTGACTGGACCGAGCAGATTAATGCTCTCTTTGCAATCCATCCTCTTCTGTGATATGCTCATTGCGGCCCAATTCTTGAGCGTTGACATTTCAGAATGTGATCCCTTTGCATTTGGCCGCTCAGCAGGGTCACATTGCAGTTGTCGGTATGTTGTTATCACGCTCCACACAACAACAGCACGCTAAGGTAAGCAACCCTTCAAGCATATGCTTTCATTCCCAGCGGAAACCTGGTTTCTAGGACTGGCGAGGGCGGACTCCGCTTCACCTCGCAGCAATGAATGGTCACTACGAAATGGTGTCACTATTAATTGCTCAAGGATCTAACATCAACGTCATGGATCAGGTATGAGATTGCGCTAGAGGAATGCCCTTGGAAACTTGTGTACTATTCGTTGTTTAGAATGGTTGGACTGGAATGCATTTTGCCACAAAGGCTGGGCATCTGAATGTAGTGAAGCTGTTCGTCAAAAGTTCGGCTGATGAGCTAGCGGAAACTAAAGAAGGAAAGGTGATTAACAATTTTTTTCAGAAATGACTTACTAGCACTCTGCAGTCGAAACAGGGGTTCTTAACTTATCGTAGTGAAGCAACGGCACAGGCTGACCTTTTAAGGTGCCGCTGTGCTTCGCAGCAGCCCACAATCATATCGAATGTTTGCGTTTTCTACTAAAGCAAAAACACGATACCCATCAGCTAATGGAAGATCGTCGATTCATCTTTGACCTGATGGTTTGCATATTACGACCCAACCCACCCAACTCGAGAGTCCTCCCCTTTTTCCTCAGGTCTGCGGCAAAGGCAACGACAACGAACCACTGCAAGAGTTCATTCTACAAAGTCCAGCGCCGATAGACACCGCTGTTAAACTTTCAGCTCTGTACAGGTGAATTCCAAACCTTACATCTTATTGAGGAAACCTAACTTCGTCTTTGATTGCAGGGATATGTCGGAGAAGGAGAAGGAGCGAGCAAAAGATCTCTCGAATGTGGCAGTGTTCTCCGAGAACATGGCTGTGGAGCTTCTTGGTATAACCGCCACTGAATATAATGCAGCCATTTTGCTGAAAGCTAAAGATAATAGAGGACGGCCTCTGCTTGATGTGCTCATTGAGAATGAACAGGTTCTTTGTTTATCACTTCCATAAAAGTAGGTACTGAAAAATTACTGTTTTGTCGTCGAACAGCGTTAGAAGAGGATTTGTTGTAGCTTACAATTGTACAATAAATACTTGTACGAACAGGGCCTTACATAGGGTCCTAAATGGGCGGGACGATCAGTGGTCATACCCTGATCAGGGGCTTCCATGATGACCTACAGGGTGCTTGATCAGCCAGGCGAGATCACGGCAGGGTTAAAGCTCGAAATCCAACGATACTATTTAGCACTTGAATTTTAAAAGCTGTAGACTATTCAGTTGGGGAGTAGTAGTAGGGTTGTTGTTAAAGGAATTGGTCAACCGCTTACTACTCCCAATCTGAGCACTTTTGGCTGCCATACATCATAGTTTAATCGTCCTCACGTGCATTTTTTTTGGTCATCGAATGCCAGCTGAAGAGATTCATTAATGAGAGGAGGTTTTCCTTCCGCACATGGGATTGCGTAGAATTCCTCTGAGAATAAGAAAACAGCAGAGAAAAGTAGGGCAGCACAAAGCACTGTAAGGCTCCGCCAACCACCTTTTTTTTTATCAAGAAGTTGTTTTGTTTATAGAAAGAGGTCGTCTCATACGCATCAGTGCAACGGTATCTAACAGAAATCTGGACGGCACGCGTCGACTGGTCCTTTGGTTTGTTTTTAGACACCTTTCAGGTTGAAGTTCACTAATGTATATTGTATATGAACTTGACAAAAATCGGGTTGAAAAAAAATCAAAAAAGGTAAATTTTGAAATTGAGTACTTACGGTTCACAGGCACAGTTCACGATAAGCGGGGCTTTCCCGCCCCTCGAATTATCGTGAACTGTGCCTTTAAGCATGTTTGGCAAAACCCTATAAAGTTGTCTCACCAAAGGGTTGTGATTATACCTGAGTTTTGTTTCTGAACTGTTTTTTCTGATTCTCAACTCTTCTTCCAGGGAAAACAGTCGCATTTTCGCTTTTTGTACTGATTTGCCCACCAGCCTGGTTCTATTTTTCACTTCCTTTAGATAGTCGCATAGGTAGGATATTATTGTTACGTGGATGTAGATGATTGGTCGTAAATGAAAGATCCTATTCAAATTCAGGTCGTGCTCCGATCATCAAATTCGTCTGTCATATCGTCTCCCATGTGTACTTTACAGTTCTTCTGACGGTGGTCGTACTCAACATCACCCATAAAATGTGAGGTCCTCCATACTTTCATTCCATTTCGGTGAAATGGTCGTTCAGGTACGAGGTTACGTCCGTGATTCCAAATCCTGTAGAGTGGCTGCTTCTGTTGTGGCTGAGCGGTAATCTAGTGTCAGAGCTATCAAATGTTGGTGGAGGTTCTGGTCTTGGAATAGTCAAGGTAGGTATGAAATGAAAAAACTTAGGGTAAGGTAAGGTTAAGGTAAGGGATTGAACGAGTTCGTGAAGGGAAAGTGCCACGAACGGGGTCTGTGGAAAAGATATCAGCTGTACGCAATTGCATGCACAGTATGTTGTAGTTATTCGAATTCAGCACAATTGTATAACATAGAAAAAAGTATGCAAAGAAAACGTCAAAAACTGCCTGCCAATGCCGTCTCAGACCATTCATTCAAAGTATTGGCAACCTCATTTCGATGTTCTCTGTACTATTGCAAATTATTGTTAGTTTTTTTGTTGAAATTTTTAACCAGGCATTGAGAATGCGCAGTCCCTACGCGGTTGTCAATACGACCACCCCAGGATGTGGCAAAAAGTGAAAACCATCCTTAAGCCATCAATTCATCCGATCTGAACCGCTTTTCAAC